ACGTTGTAATTAAATTGATATTTTATCTATATATCTATTAAATATGAAATGTTTTTTTACTGAAATATTTATGTCTTTTTGTGAAAATGAAATATTAGTTTTTCTCTATTGTAAGCTTTTGTAAATTGAAAAATATACCGATCCAGGGAGCTCCTGGCACCCCAGGTGAGGTATTAACCGAGGGCTTCTGAGGAAGTTTTGCCTCAAAATTCGTATGTTATTGGAAATAAATGTATTAAAAAAAAAAAAAAAAAAAAAAAATCTTGAAATCAACTATTTTGTATTCTACTTCTTATTCACAAGAATGGGAAGTTCTTTTTCTATATGTAGGTGCTTTTAATTAAAGGTGCATGGACACAGATTTGAAGTTAATATTTTCTGGATAATATTACGACTTATATATTTTTATAGGATTTCACACAAAAATATAGTAATAGTCTTATTAAAAGTTATTAAAACTTCAAATTTTAAGACGGGTTTGATTGACACATTCTTGCACTTACACAAATTTTAATTTCATTATTAGGAAAAATGGCAAATTTGTTGTGCATAAATGAAAAATATTAAAACTATAATCCATAAAATTCAGAATAGAAATGTTCGAAAGCAAAACATACACACAGTAAATTGTCAGTCCGTGCAGTTGTTGTGAGCAGACTTGAGCGATTGAACGCACCCGGTGAATCGTAAACATTAACAATAAAGAGCTCGTGCCCTGTTTACAAAATTGTGTACGTTTCACGGGTGTGATCAATTTGCTAAACTGTGTACACAACACATAGCGTGGGGTTTTGCATTCTAACATTTCTACTCTGAATATAATTATTTTTCTGGATTAAAGTTTTAATATTTTTACTCACCTGAGCCGAAGGCTGAAGTGAGCTTTTCTGATCACATTTTGTCCGTCGTCCGTACGTATAGCTGTCCGTCTGTAAACTTTTCACATTTTCGACTTCTTCTCAAGAACCAGTGGGCCAATTTTAAGCAAACTTGGAACAAAGCATCCTTGGGTGATGGGGAGTTTAAATGGTTAAAATAAAAAGCCATGTCCCCTTCAAAGGGGAGATAATCAAGAAAAGACAAAAATAGGGTGGGGTCATTAAAAAATCTTCTCCTCAAGAACCAGTGGGCCAGGAAAGCTGAAACTTATGTGGAAGCATCCTGGGGTAGTGTAAAATCTAAATTGTTCAAATTAGTACCCCCGGGGGTAGGGCGGGGCCACAAGAGGGAACCCAATTCTTCTCAACACTACTGGCCCAGAAAAGCTGAAACTTATGTGGAAGCATTCTAGGATAGTGTAGATTCTCAATTATTCAAATCATGACCCCCGGGGTTAGGGCGGCGCCACAATAAGGAATCCAAGTTTTACATAGAAATATATAGGAAAAATCTTCTTCTTAAGAAGCAGTGGGTCAGAAAACCTGAAACTCAGGTGGAAGCATCCTGAGGTAGTGTAGATTATAAATTATTAAAATCAAGATTCAAGATGGGGGTGTGGTGGTGGTGGGGGGATAGGGGCCACTCTAGATATAAGAAGAGGGGAAATATGGTAAAGAACTGGATCATCAAAGTTACTCGGGTGAGCGATGTGGCCTATGGGCCTCTTTTTTCATGCACCTTTAAGGACATCAAGTTCCATTCTGAATCAGAAAAATTTCCCGGCACAGGTCATTAGTGACCTCTTAGATCTCATTCCCTAAGTCTAGAGTCCCTGTAGTTTAATTACCAATAACCTCTGTGTAGCTAGTAAAGAATTCCCCAAGTAGTCACAATGATTTATTGTATCTTTCATGAACAGACATTCACAGATCAAATCAGAAGCTTCAATAACTGAATATTCACATGTGGTAGTGTATGTTTCATTATTTTTAAATACCATGAGAACCATTTTATAATCACCAAAAATTTTTTATTATAAAGCAATAAATAACTTCCTTTTTCATAGGCAAAAATGCCAGAATTGAGGAAAATCTCGAAAAAAGCTCTTGGTGTATACGTAAACTTATGTAAAACCTACAGTGCTTTTCAAAAAATAGCTTTTTCTGCAACTCTCTCCTATTCTTTTTTATAAATAAAATGATGTTTGTGTAATATATTTGTAATCTGGCAAAGTTCTATATCATATACGAGGGGTGATCAAAAAGTTCGCAAACTATCTCTGTATCTACAAAACCACAATTCATATTAGAATGAAATTCGGTACACACATAGCCATACACAAGGTCTATAAATAGCATATGCTGAATAAAGTTTCTCTCCTTGTTTGTGACGTCACAATGTTAAAATGACGTCACTGTTTAGGTCACTTGTGACGAAAAATGGTTGTCTCAGTCGAACTCGTTCAACAAACGACTGTACAATTTATTGTAATATCTTAGAAATCCCTCTACAGTATCATATAATAATTTGTACACAGTTTATTGAGATAAATGAGTTCCTATAAATTCAATTAATGATTGGATTAATCGTTTTAGTGAAGGAAGGCTGATGATTAAAAATGATACTTGTCATCTTGCCCACTGAAAGCAAGTTTGAAAAGATATGTATTTTTAATTAAGCAATTTGCTATCAAAGACTTCCAATTAGCACTTTGAAAAATAGTTGAATATTTGAACAATGATATTAGTATTTAATACCTAAGATATCGTTTACTTTAGATTTTAAACATATTAGATATGATAAGAAGGATGCACCCATTCTCTATCCACCTTGAATAAAGGTCTCTCCTGAGACAGAAGATTTGTGTTTTAATGGTCGCCATGCTTATTTTTGGAAAGGATGTTATAATCCACCCATTCTGTTGCCGAGATATGACCATTTCTGACAAATGAACTGTTCTTGTCATAAAAATTAACTCACATGGAAAGAAATATAAAACTCGGAAAAATCTTTTAAATCTTCTGACAGAACGCTACGGAGGGGGTCACGTGACCGCCAATATCACGTGATTCGCGCATGCGCAGAACAGTGGTTGATGTGCATTAAAATCGAGGAGGATTAATTTAAAATATAAACATTAAAACCAAATATTGTTTCTTGTATGGAAGTTATTCAATTAGTTTGCGAACTTTTTGATCACCCCTCGTGGATCAATTTAATTTAAACAATATTTTATTATGAATAAACATAATAGGATTGAACAGCAGATGGTTGATCATACAGATCAACCATCCAAACATAACGTAACACAGGTGTCGTTTGAATATTTTCATTTATTAGATGATAATAAGTCAAATTTGATTTTATATAATGATAACAAAATCAAGATATAAGGGGGGTTACAGACAATGCTGACAGCAGATTGTTTTTATAAAAATCCCTGAATCTCCCATTACAAAATTAATCCTTGACAAAATAAAATACATACAAAAACAATTTTCCCTGAACTATCCAAGAATGATATTTAATTACATGTATATACAAAACAACAACAACAACAAACATTTAAGAAACATTCAAATGAGAGAAGGTAGGGCTTTCATTTTTTTATACACTCTTTTCCTATTATAACACTTTACAGAGATTTATAAATTTTGACTTGATCGCCCTGACTTAGAAGCTTGACATACATATTCAAATTTTAAAGGTTGGCAATACATTTTCTCCAGTAAAGATGCAACTTTTATAATATTTTCATATATGCATTTCATGTACTTGTGGCAAAACTTTGCAGGTTATACTACATATATGATAATTATTTGACCTGTTGTCCTTGATTTTGAAGTTTACACAAGTTGAAAAAACATAATTATTCCCCATAACTTTTATTTATTAAAGAAAATTAATCTGTTTTCTTATGATGGACAGAAAATGTAGATGACACATAGACAAGACAATTACGTGTACAATGTACTATAAACCAGCATTTCAACCTCTAAGACACCAAAAGTGGGGGCTTTAATTCTTTGAATTTGCTTCCTTCTTATTACTTTTCACTCAGTTCGTCACCTTGATTCTTGTGAGTACAAACGAACTAACAGAATGAAATACAATATCATAATATACTAGAGGCTGGATTCCCCGGGCCCCTGTATGTCATGCAGATACTTGCTAGTTATAAAAATATGCAGCTGATCATTTAACTTCATACATGAACAGACAACAAACCACCATTGTCCTCTGATTATTAAACGTTTACAACAAATCATAGATATTTTTTAAATAATTATATATCTGCATAGTTATATAATGTAGGACCATGCAGGTACAAGTTTAATATGATTATGATAAATGTTGCAATATTCGGTACATTGGTTACATCATAGACGTCTCGTATTAGTGTATATATTGTTTAGTTGGGTGTTGTTTCCACGTCCCATGTAACTGTATAGTGATATTCAATATCCAACGAGACGTATATGATGGAAGAAACTGGGCAAATATCTGATGGCACGTGTGTCAGGGGTAGAATGATCCGGTCAATTTGAACATATCGGACGTTATGGAATGGGATTAGATCGATTTGGAATTTTAAACAAATTTCGATGATTGGTTGTTTTGATATTTACCAAAGCGCTTGAATACACCGTATTCCCTCATAACTTCTATAAGGACTAATACCATTTTCATAATAACTACTGACAGACAACTGACAAAGACTTTTTTAACCTGAATTTTGATAAAATAACAAGTCAACTATCAAAATACACGTACGTTATAAATTCTAATAGAGCTTATTCAATTTTATAACGTTCGACCTGTTCCTTCACAACCTCAAAAGAAGGTTTTTTTTTCTACTGATAAAATAGACGTTTCGTATTACATGTATTGGATATATAGTTTTTCAAATCGTGGAAATCGTGTGCTCAAAACACCCGAGGTTACCAAGACAAAAATAATTTTAAAAAATTTAAAAAATGAAAAATCATAAAATTCAATTAAATGGAGAATCGTAAAATACAATGAAAAACGAAAATCATAAAATATAAATGGAAAAACAATAATAATAATAATAATAATAATAAACAATTATGGAAATTCATAAAATTCAAATGGGGAATCGTAAAATACAAATGCAAAATTATACAAAATAAATTCATAATAATATAAAACAGAAACGATCGAATATTTACATGCCATCCAAAAGACGGTGCTTAAGAATCTATATTAACTTACTTAGCTGCGATAAAATATAAAAAAAAAATCGACGGTCATTTTCAATGAAAATAAAAGAGATAATATACGATGGATTTCAATATATAAAACCATCATAATTGTAGGCTGGTTAGCAAGTATACGTCTTGTTGAGTTTTTAGTTATTGGATTCTAGGAAGTTAAACTTGGCCTCACGAGGTTTCCCTGACACCGTGTCCTTAGCTTCAACTATCAGCTCCGTTCCACCAAAGGTCATTTTAACCTCAATTTCCCTGTCATTGTTGGATTTCTCCAAATCTATCGACATTTTTCCTACGTAAGAACACGTATGATCGGTAGTATATTTAGGAAATCTTTCAGATGAAACGTAAATCGGGATGTCAACAGTATCAGAGTCTTTGTGTAAGGGTACATAACAACGGGGTTCAAGGGGCGTTCCCACTTCAACTGTTTCGTTGACACCAACATGGACACTGAAGATATCTTTGCATTTATCAATGCCCCCAACTTTAATTTTTTTCTCCGGGGGATCGCCTGATTCAAAATTCCTATTGGACTGAACACCATAAGTCCATTTTGTCTTTCTTGAAACAATTGTTTTAGGATTATGTCCAAAGAGCACAGCGCCCTTCACAATAGCCAATCCAGCTTCCTCTGGTATAATGATTCTGTTATTCTTGAAATTGTTTTTAATTGCTTCCTGAAGAAGCTTGCATTCAGAAAATCCACCAACCATTAATATGTTTTCTACCCCGTCGCAAAACGGATGTGCAAGGAGTTCCTTGACATGATTAACAATACTTTCAGAACAATGCTTAAATAATTCATGAACCATTTCCCCGGTCATGCGCAGCTTGTCTCCTGTCCACATCAGCTTGTCTTTATGCCTCGTCTGCGATATTGTTGATTTTAAATCTTCATCATATTCTTCCTCAAAAATATCCACCAAGGTTACTGGGATTCGAAAAGTGATTTTTTCTTTAATATTAGTGGACACAGATCGCTTTTTAGTTTCAAATTCCCGAACGAGTTCAAGGTTATCTGCGGGATGATTCTTTTTGAAATTCGACATAACCGGACTTCCAACTATGCCTATAATCATTTGGATGAACGCTTCGTCAATTTTGGTCCCTCCCCATGCCCCTCCACTTGCTTTGTGGAGTTCCTTGATAGTATAATCAGACAAAACCTCTTGAACTGTTACATCAACTGTCCCTCCTGAAAATAATCGTTTTTGGTGTATATTAAATTTAGGTAATATGAACTTAAACAATAAAAAATAGCACAATTCGAAAGAAATTAGACTTTCGCTTTCAAGTAATAAAGATGCATTTGTTTAAGGCATGTGGTTACTGTCTTGTTTGTTTGTTATGTCTTGACTGTCTATCATAAAAAGTAAACAAGATCATTGCACAAAAAAAAAATAAAATTTTTCAAAATTTAGCACTTTACCTCCTAAATCCAGCACCATGAAGCGCGTTCCGGGTTGAAACATGGAGAGATTTGTACAGCTTGCTGTGGAGAGTCTCTCTAGAGGTAACATTCTGCAGTACAGCGCCGCCGATTCCGGCTCAAGTGCAAGTCTCAAATTCTGGCTCTTAATACCTGCCTGGAGTTTTAAAGACGATACGTTCATAAATAATTACTCTAATGTTAACATTTTGGTTATACCTTTTGATTACTACGGAAGCTCATTAGTGCCAACCTGTATATATAAAGGAAACGCAATATATAAAAGCAAACCTCTATATATAAAGGAAATGCGATGTATATAAACATAACCTGGATATATATAAAAGGAAATGCGATATATATATAAACGAAACCTGGATATATATATAAAGGAAATGTTATATATGCAAAAAAAAAAACCTCGATATATATATAAAGGAAATGTGATATATATTTATTAAACAAAACCTCGATATATATAAAGAGAAATGCGATATGTGTAAAGAGAAAATTTTCCACTGCGTGACCTGTAGAGCTCGGCTGTCCATCAAGATTATATACAGATTAACTCCTGGCAGGGGGAATCAGTTATACAGTACTCATTTATAACTTATCCAGAATCGGCAAAATGTTGCTATGTAATAGTGTTTATTTGTTTGTACATGTATATATCAATGAACTGTAATTGCGGATCCAGGAATTTCGTAACGGGGGGGGGGGGGGGGGGGCAGTAGAAGGCAGAGGGGTCTGGTGGCTGTACGGAATTTAGGATAATGGACCTATAAATTTCATATACAAATAAGGATAAGGATCCGCCTTTGATTTTATTACTAGTTTATATATATTAATGAAATAAGTATAATATTTATCGTATTTTCTGTGCATTTATTGCCTTTACATGTATATGATCAACTTCGTTTTGACAACCTAAAGCTAGCTTGTTTACTGTTTTACAAAAACTTAGCCGTACTACCTTTGGTTTCACGACCGAGAATTTATGAAAATAATGTTTAACAGGAAGTCTCTTTTTTGATGCTCTAATTCAAATTTATTTAAATTCATTTCAAAAATAATTAACTAGTATGCCCATTGATTGTTAAAAAAGAATCAATATCGTCCGGAATGGGAGAGAGGGGAAGGATGAAGGTACCCACTTCATTTGAAGGTGACAAGGAAAATTAAACTGTAATAATTTTAGGGTCTTTAATGGTGTGGAAAAAATATAAAGTATTTGGGAATTAATAGAAAGAAACAAATAATTAGTGCATGTACACTCACATAATTAAACTGCGGATTTTTGTCCCACGTCGTAAATTATATCGATTTGAAATTCTCCATACATCATGTGAAAAACATGGTAAAACGTTAAAAAACTTATAAAGCATGTTAAAAACACACTTGTATTTTTGCACCGAATTATACTCAGTTCGATTGAGAAGACCCCCAATATTAATATACATTTTAAGCAGAAAAGTCTCTGAAGTCTTTGAAATGGAAATCAATTCAATTTAATTTATTCACACACTGTAAATGGTACACAAAGTACACAAACATAAAAAAACCCCATATATACATATAATACAGTGGGGCAAACACAGACAACACTATTAATTTTAGAGATAAATGTTCATAATTTTTTCAAAGAATCAACATCATTTTGGCACATGAAGAAGAACAGCAGTTTTTTAGCTTTAGTTTTAATCATCATAATTATCAAGATACACAAATAAAGAAAACAATACACTGAACACCATCCTGAAACAGCCACACCAACTGATCGCAATCAAAACATTAGATTGGAAGCTGCTTATCTATGTTTGCAGTCTTGTTGTTATGAAGGTCATTAAACATGTTAAAGGTCAAGCTTGGCAAATTTTCTCTTTATATATATATCGAAGTTTTGTTTATATATTTCGCATTTCTCTTTATATATATCGACATTTTGTTTTATATATCGCATTTCCTTTATATATATCGAGGTTTTGTTTATATATATTGCATTTCCTTTATATATATCCAGGTTTTCTAAATATATATCGCATTTCCTTTATATATCCAGGTTTTCCTATATGTATTGTTTTCCTTTATATATATATATACAGGTTGGCACTAATGGGCTTTTGTACATTACGATGCGTCAATATAACATAATGGCACACAAGCTCTTAGAATACAATTCTTTGCCGCCTCTCTCATAAATTGTTTAGATTTATCATTCCATATTGCAGGGATGTTGAACCCAGTGAATGTTATAATCTTCCTTGAAATAGTCCTTTTACTTGTTTCAAAAGGTGATCTTTCAGATACCGTATGCCATGGGCAAAAACTGTCATAGCAGACTTCTTTTGGCCGCTTTCAACTGATATTATTCTTTCATTTAGATGCTAATTTAAAATTACAAAGAAACAACTGTAAATGCAACAAAGTGCTATGTACATGATTATTTGACATGTACATTTCTCTTAAAAATTTACTTTGTTTTTTATGGTAAAACTTAATAATTCATTAAGTCTCGTCTTAGAAATGTTTTGATTTTTCAAATTTACTTTAATATTCTTATTATCCTAATTTCCTTACCATGTTATTATGTAACATCATCTTGAACCTCCGAAAGAAGTACCATGAATGATGTTTTTCTTCATTGGCAAGATCGGTGTACGTGTCTTCAGCCTCGTACCCGAACGAATGAAAACTTTGATCAGATTTCAGCAAAAGACACGTAGGAGTTTTCTGAGAAAACAAATTCTTGTGCCCAGATACCCATGTTGTATTGGCCATGATTTTTGTTGGATCCTTTTCGTATTCATCTTTGAAAGAGAAGGCATAGCCAGAGTAGGTTGTAC